ATTTGCCCATTTTAATTTGAAATAAATGAATATACTTTATATTATTTTGCTATAATATTAATATCTACTTTTTGATATTTGTATGCATTGAATTAATTTTATTGGATAGCTAGTTATGTATATTTTTTGAATTGGGCTACGTTAATTTGTAAGAATTACGAATGAAATGTCATTAGTTGTATTTATGTAGTGTTACTGAAAATATTAAAAAATTTAATTATGGTACGGAACCGAACGGAACCGAACCCGAACCTGAACGATTCCATAATTATATTTGTACCCGATGGGTCCATTTATTAAATACCCGAAAATTTTGGATCGGTTCGGGTCTCTTTAGAACCGAACCGAACCAAACCGACCCACGGACAGCCCTAATAGCTTTAAGCTGAGCCTGTCATCGACTATTTCATACAAACTTTAGCTAAATCACAACATTTGTAGAGCATCATTATGGAATCAAATGCACTTCAAATATAAAACAACAAATACTCAGGTTGCATTTAGTGGCAAACAATTGGGGAATCAAAATTGGATATGTGAATAATATATTCAAAATTCAACTAAAATATTTCCTAAATAGAATAAGCAAAGTCCCATTTCTATATAGTCAAACATAGCATAAAGAAAGAATTCTCACCTGCAAAGAGAAGTTAAAAATCATGAACTCAATCACAGGCCTGAGACCATAGTAAGTTCCACCAACACCAATTCCAGTAAATCCGGCCTGCAACATATAAACTAGTTGAGTATGACAAATATTATAAACACAACTAAAACAATTCATAAGTAAAAGGCGAAGAGAAACCTTAGTAATAGGAGTATCCACAATTCTGTCGGGACCATACTTCTCCAAAAGCCCTTTGGAAATCTAAAGTAATATAGAGTAAATCAAAAACTGATTACTGAAAGAATAAAAATAAGATTATGAAAAGTCTTTGTAAATCAAAAACTGATTACTGAAACAATGTGAGTAAGTGCATTTTCTTCCCATATTGAACTAAAACTTCCAGTTTACCTCTTCACCTATTAAAAAGACTTTACGGCCAGCAGACATTTCTTCATCAAGTGCCGAATTTAAAGCCTCAAGTACTGTCATCTGCAAGTTGGAGTAAAAAATCTATTGTTTGAGCTAATGGAAATGAAGGAGAAGCAATGGGAGGTTGTGTGGGAAAATAGAGGAGGAGTGGGTGGTTGCGTGAGATAATGAAGAAAGAGGAATGGCAGTACGGGAATTTTTTGGCGAATTTTAGGGAATTTTTTTTTTAAATGGGGATTTTTGACGACGACGGGAAATTGCGACACGTGTAAGATTTGCTTAGCCTCTTTTAATATATAGTGAAGTTATACTTTGTAAAACCCTGTATCATGAGGGTTAGTACATATTTTAAAGACTTGATGAATGAATAAAATTACAATTTCTTCTTTCTCCTCTCTCGTATTCTCTCTCTTTTCTGTCTTCTATTCTCCCATTTCTCTCCTCTTCTTACGTATAATTCCCTTATTTAACCGTTTTGTTATTTTGTACGAGTATCCTTTTTCTCCATCTTCTAGATGAAAAGGACATAAGTGTTTAATGGGACTGCAACTTTATATCTTGAAAGCAAGTGAAATGAAATGAAGATAATTTAAGAAGAGAAAAAAAAAAATTGAACCTTACCAATCTTGTAATTTTTGAAGGGTCAATAGACATGGCCTAACATTAGTTTCTCTGCAAATGCCAAACATAACAAATAGCAATCAATCAGCAATTCAAGAAAATAGATGGAAGTTTCATTTGTTATTTACCAAGATAATGTGTTGCATGAATGACTGCTCCCTTGTTCAAACAAATGTTAATGATAAGATAGAAGCTAAATTTATTTCATGTGTTGTCCAGCCTAGTTCAGAATGCAGATTTTATAAACAATCGAACATGAAATTCTTCATCATAAATTGAGTATTAGCAACTCTCCATAATAGAAAGACGGCAACATTCGTTATAATCAAACCTATAACAACTCCATCAGTTGTAAGCCATTGAAACCTAATTTCCTAAAAAATAAATGGACGAATAGTGTTGTTATGTGTAAACATCTTCAAGCTCGAAGGCATAAATATATAGAATATTCAAACATTTTCCATGGAGAAACCTCCATAACAAGTCATGAGCATTATGTTATAGGAGTGGAAAGGACCTAAATAGAGACAAAGGAAGAGATAATCAATAAAGTACCATTGTTATGAACTTTTATTTGAATATAGCAAAGTGGAGGATAGTAAACCAAAAGGCTAGAGACTTTTGTGTCAAATTGTGTTGTACTCCACAAAGGCTTCTGAAAATTTTACCGAGCCACCGAAGTTCCATCCGATGAATACGTTAAATTAGTGTTCAATATATTTGATTATATTCTTCTTTGTTCATTTTATTTGGCTGTTAAAATTACATGAAAAGAAAGACAGCGATCTTACAATAATAAAGAATGACTTCCAATTCTATTTTACAGAACGGCAGAAACGACACTACGGTAGAATAATCGATTTGGATAAAATTTAGGTCAATTTGATTAATTGGACTTGGGGCTGGAAATTAGAAATAGGAAAACCATATTGTGGGTTTGTGCTAAATTAAGTAATTAACAAATTTATTTAGAAAAAAATAAAATAATTTGACTTATATAAGATAAAGAAAATTAGGAATATTCGGTTTTTCATTTAGAATCGAGACTTAACCGAATCCACCAGCTCTCGATTCAGATACCCGCTTGAATATTTAATCTAAGGAGAACAGTTTGGTTCGATTTAGTTCTATTCGGCTCCGATTTTGTTCCATTCGAGAATTTTGTTCAGCCCTACTCTCAACTAGCGAATCATATAAATTTATTTTCTTCAATAAAGTCTATTTCATTTGTAGCACTGGCAGATAAATTGCTATCTTGCTGAATAGTTAAGTCCAAAATTTACAATTAATGGAGCTCATAATCCAATTTGTTAGTTAGTCAACCTTCTTTCCACGACATTTTCATACTTTCATGCAGTGTGGGAAATGAACAGAGACAATTTCTATTTTCTAAAGTAATTTCATTGACTTAATCTTTTTCTTCTTTTTGACTGGGGAAGGTTCTAAACTTTTAATTGGTCCTCGTCTCTGTCATTTGAAGAAGTTATTATATAAAATGGTAATTGCATATTTATAATTTTATTAATTAATAGATGAAGTAAGAAATGAAAATTTACATTCATAAAATTATTATATAAATAGTAAGCATTATTACAGATTTATTAATTATTAGATGAAGTAAGAAATAAAAAATATGTGTGAAACGGCTTCGGACAAATTCAAAGAAGAATATAGAAGTGATTGGAGAAGCTTTTGTGTAAACTTAAAATTTTTTTTGTTAAATGTGAAAATGAATGTGTTCAAACTAGTGGACTTTTTTTTTTTTTTTTTAAATTTGGAATTAGCATTATGATACTATGTTTGGTAATCGTTCTTTCAAAACTTCATTTTTTTTTCATACTCATTTTCAACCATACATTTTCACAACAAAACGTTCTTCATGTAAACTCAAATATTTTCCTTACTTTTTAAACATACATTATTTAAAAAATTACTATT